GAGGCTAAAGCTTATCGTCCTATTAGCCTGTCATCTTTCCTTTTGAAAACGACGGAGAAAGTAGTAGACAGACATATTAGGGACGGTGCATTGAAAATTAATCCTCTGCACCGAAACCAACCTGCTTACCAAATAGGTAATCTACTGAAACTGCATTGCATAATGCAGTAACACACATGGAGAATGCTACTGAACACAAGGATATTGCCCTTCGAGCATTCCTTGACGTAGAGGGGGCTTTTGACAGAACCTCCTTTGATACAATAAAACAGGCTGCTGAAAGGCATGGCATTGAGCCCACAATATGCAGATGGATCTGTACTATGCTGCAAAGCAGGAATATAAGTGCTATATTTTCTGGAGAGACCCTGAGAGCGTCTCTGGGGAGAGGGTGTCTGCAGGGGGGGGGTTCTTTCCCCTCTCCTGTGGAGCCTGGTTGTGGATGATCTTTGGGAGCTCAACAGTACATGCCAATTCACAGTAGGATATGCTGATGATATAGCAATCCTAATTAATGGGAAATTCCCAAAACACAGCATCAGTGGTGTTACAAACAGCCCTGTATAAAATTCAACAGCGGTGCAAAAGGACAAACGTGTCTATCAATCCAAACAAGATGGTGATTGTACCCTTTACTAGACAGAGGGATATAAATGGGCCCAAAGAACCAATCCTCTTCAGTAAAGTGACCCGGCTATCCGATGAAGTAAAGTACCTCGGATTAACATTAGACAAGGGGCTGACATGATAAAAACAGCTGGATAAGGCTATTAATAGGCCTTCTTCACATTCAAAGGCATGTTTGGGAAGACTTGGAGACTGACACCAAGGGTGGTATACTGGATATACACCGCAGTGGTAAGACCCATAATCACCTATGCCGCCCCTGTATGGTGGCCTAGAGTCAAACTCAAGACAAGTCAGGCAGAACTTAGCAAACTGCAAAGGACAGCCTGCTTGGGAATTACAGGAGCAATGAGAACAGATCCAACAGCTGCAAAGGAAATCCTACTAGGACTCCTTCCACTGCATTTGCAGATGGAAGCAGAGGCCAAGTTAGGAAATTACAGATTACGTTGCAATGATCAGTGGAGACCTAAATTCAAGGGTTTTGGACATGCACACATGACTCGGGACATGAAAAAAGAACTCATTCTACAAGATGGGATCTGATTAAATGCTACCGAAACATGTTTATGATAGACCCTTCATGATCAGATTTCCTGAGAGAAGTGAATGGAAAGAGGGGTTCCAACCTGATTGAAAGGTGGGACTAATCTGGTATACAGATGGCTCCAAGCCAAATAAAGGAACTGGAGATTGGGTGTATTGTGACGGAATGAGGCTGAAGCATACCTTCAGCCTTGGTCAGTACACAAGAGTATCCCAGGCAGAGGTGTATGCCATTAAGGCATGCACAGTTGAGAATTTAGGTAGGAACTATAGAAATAGGAACATCTATATCCTATCAGAGAGTCAAGTTGCAATTAAAGCGCTTGGTACACACCAGATCACTTCAAAATTGGTTTGGGACTGCCACCAATCCCTCATACAACTGGCCAGACACAACAGAGTACAACTGATATGGGTGCCAAGTCATGAGGGTATTGTAGGGCAGTGTTCCGCAACCGGTGTGCCATCACGAGGTGAAAGGTGTGACGCGAACTTTTACTTATTGTAAGAAATTGTCGAATTTTATTAGTTTTGTTTTATCCCAGTTACCATGTTTCATATGCTTGTATTTTATTCTCAGCCACTGCACTGATTAAATAAGCTAATGCTTGATTATTCTTTATTACATGCCGTGATTTTTTTATGTATAGTAATGTTGTATTCTAAGAAATTAAACGTAAATTATTTACTCACAGTTGTTGTTGCCGCTATTGTTTATGTACAGTAATGTTGTATTCTAAGAAATTAAACATAAATTATTTACTCACAGTTGTTGTTATATCATAGTTTTCATTATTGATTTTTACTTTTCTCGCATCTACGCAGCTTTTGCCACATGTTCTGTGTACGTGCTCTTTCCTAAAACTGCAGGGATTAGAAACGGTTTCCCTGTCTTTTATAATGCTGTTTTGGTATTTGCCCCTGTTTGTTAAAGTTAAGAGCTTCAACTTGATGACTTTCTTCATGTAATGATGCACCCACCGACTGTTGGACTTCATTTAAAATTATAAATATTTAAAAAATAAGTCAGTGTCACTTCTTCCGTTTGAAGAGTAGAGGTCTGGCATCTTACAATTGTTTCAGTTCTATCACAGCTGTGCTCTGAAGTAGTTTGAAAATTGTGGTTGCTAGTTAGTCTTGCTATTTTCTATTACTATTAGACAACTTTATATTTTCAAGATGGATAAATTCCTTATACGGAGTGTTGAGATGTTCCCGGTTGTATGGTCACTTGCTGACGGCAATAAAGTGGTGATGGACACAATTAAAGAACATTTAGAAATGCTGCAGCAGAAATTCAATAAGTATTTTGGAGAGAGTGTACAAGATTTTGACAGGGTTCGTGATCCATTCGTTGTGAATTCAGAACATCTTCCTATTAATATATAAGAGTAATTCGCAGATTTAAAAGCAGACAGAAAATTGAAACTAAAACTTCTCGAAGTGCCTTTGGATACATTTTGGTTGGCAATAAGTAGTGAATACCTGGCTATCTCCGAGATGGCAGTTAATGTGTTATTGCCATTTTCAACTACATATTTATGTGAACTGAAATTAAGACATCAAAGAGGGAGCGGCTCAAATCCATCAATGAAGAAATGAGACTTGCACTGTGAACGATTCCACCACGGATCAGTCGCCTGTGTGCAGCTACGCAGGCGCAAGTATCACATTGAAGGTATGAGTAGAATTACTGTATTTACTTTAAAAGTAATAGAAGTGTATTTTCTACACTCTACAGTGAATTGAAGTTCATTAATTGTTAATAAATGCACAAGTTGATTTCTGTTTAATGATAATAAAATAAGAATATAATAATATTATAGTAATAAATTGATCACATTACGTATTTATATTATCTGATATCATGCGTTTTTGAGGGGAATAACATTTTGGTGTGCCAGTGTTGAGTCATGGATACTTCATGGTGTGCCGCGAGTAGAAAGTTGCGGAACACTTGTAGGAATGAAACCGCACATCAGCTGGCAAGAACAGGATCTGAACAGCCNAGGGTTCGTGATCCATTCGTTGTGAATTCAGAACATCTTCCTATTAATATATAAGAGTAATTCGCAGATTTAAAAGCAGACAGAAAATTGAAACTAAAACTTCTCGAAGTGCCTTTGGATACATTTTGGTTGGCAATAAGTAGTGAATACCTGGCTATCTCCGAGATGGCAGTTAATGTGTTATTGCCATTTTCAACTACATATTTATGTGAACTGAAATTAAGACATCAAAGAGGGAGCGGCTCAAATCCATCAATGAAGAAATGAGACTTGCACTGTGAACGATTCCACCACGGATCAGTCGCCTGTGTGCAGCTACGCAGGCGCAAGTATCACATTGAAGGTATGAGTAGAATTACTGTATTTACTTTAAAAGTAATAGAAGTGTATTTTCTACACTCTACAGTGAATTGAAGTTCATTAATTGTTAATAAATGCACAAGTTGATTTCTGTTTAATGATAATAAAATAAGAATATAATAATATTATAGTAATAAATTGATCACATTACGTATTTATATTATCTGATATCATGCGTTTTTGAGGGGAATAACATTTTGGTGTGCCAGTGTTGAGTCATGGATACTTCATGGTGTGCCGCGAGTAGAAAGTTGCGGAACACTTGTAGGAATGAAACCGCACATCAGCTGGCAAGAACAGGATCTGAACAGCCGTTCATAGGACCTGAACCAGCTTGGGACATCTCAGTAGGACAGTATTGCTAGGAATGAAACCACAGATCAACTGGCAGGAACAGGATCTGAACAGCCGTTCATAGGACATGAGCCAGCTTGCGGCATCTCAGTAGGAGAGTATTGCAGGGAATGAAACCGCAGGCCAGCTAGCAAGAACAGGATCTGAACATCTGAACCAGCTTGCGGCATCTCAGTAGGAAAGTATTGCTGGGAACGAAAAAGCAGATCAGCTGGCAAGAACAGGATCTGAACAGCCATTCATAGGACATGAACCAGCTTGCGGCATCTCAATTGGAGTTGCCAAGAAAGCGATCAGGGACCGAACTAACAGAAAAAAAAACCCACTGGGATTCCATAACTGGACTCAAACAGGCAAAAGGATTTATATCAGGACCCTCTGCTAACAGAACGAGGAACCTTTTAAAATTAAACAGAGATCATCTCAGATAGGTAGTAGGATTACTTACTGGACACTGCCACCTAAAAGGACACCTTTCCAAACTGGGACTGACAGAGGACACAACTTGTGAGAGGTGCCTACAAGAAGATGAATCAGCCACACACATCTTATGTGATTGTCAGGCTATAGCTTATTTAAGATATCACCACCTGGGTCAATTCTTCACAGTATAAAGTGACTTTTATGATGCCCCCATAAAGAAAGTCCTACATTTCATTCGAAGTGTAGGATCAATAAAGGGTTAATGCAAAGGGCAAGCACAATAGATCATCGAAGGTCGCAGTGCGAGGGCCAGTTTTATGGCTCACCCCTCATACTCATACAGTAAGGGGTGTGTATGGTAAGTGAGCTGGGAGCAAATTGGCGTGAAAAATTTATGACGACTGAGAGGCTAGCTTGAAGGAGGACCAATGTAAAGATTGACAATCACTATACGTCATTTTAATTTAAAGAGTAATACACAGTGTTGGTTCTGGAGATCCTGTACTTCATAAACCTGAAGTGTGTTCCCTTCCCAGTATCAGAAGCCACAGTATCACCAGGACAAAGGTCTCATCTTGAGTGATAGTTGTGGCATCTGTAGGATGGCAGTCGGCTACAACGCAGTCAAGTGCTGTATATAAGAAATAAAACTGGTACAAGGACAGAGAAAACAAACTACTGTTCCTTTCAAACTCTGTATTTTGAACACAAGAAATATGTCAGCACACAAAATTTTCTTACATTTTTAGTTATATCCGTAAGACTTGATTACTCTGGTATATGGCTCAACTTGTTTTGCAACCTTCTCACCAGCCTCATGAGTAAGTTTCTGAAACAGGAAAGGAAAGACATGTAACGACACAAAATAGCTTATATGCATAATACCCTTATTTAACCTTTCACTCCTCCTAAGATACTGGAAGAACAAAAAAGAAGGGACCTTATCCCTTCTAACAAAATGAAACACAACAGAAACAGCCACAGTATTAACTACATCTCAAATCAATGGTTATAATTGGCCAAGTCTACCCAACCTCCAACTTGGTAGCTGATGTGTGGATGGGTAATTTGATGGTCTAGTATTTCATACCAAATTTTTTCTGATTATGGGGATTGGTCAGGTTACATGACTCAACTGGTAAAGGTCTCAAAAGTCACATGTACATAGAGACACAACAAACTATAAAAGAGGTTAAAGTTAATTTATTATAATTCACCAGTTTATACTTTTGGAACACTGAATTACTTGAGGCATAGAAGCAGTAAGGTGTAATGACATGGTTTTGACAAATTACTATCAGATGTACATTTAACTAATACATAAATAGTCATTTATTTTAAAGAATTTTCTGGAGCAGCCAGACATGTATGTTTACTTCAGAAGTTGAAAACAAGAAGGCTCAATTTTTAAATCGTAAAATATTCCATCTGTAATGCAACAGATTCACCTTCCTTAAAAGGACACAAAAATGCATTTAATTCACTAAAAGTGTTTGTTAAATGTTTTAAAATGTCATTAACTATATACGTAGGTAAGTCAATAAGTAAGTTACAAATGGATATACAACTTAAACAAACAAGAGTACTGATTTGAGAAATGCTTTTATTTCTCAACATAATCTCCCTGTACACTGAGGCACTTGTCCCATTGTTTCACAAGCCCCTGAAAACCAGCAGCATAAAATTCTTTGGGCTGCTGTCAGAACCAGGCAGTGACTTCCCTTACTACAACTTCGTCGGGTAAATGTTCAGTCGAAAGATGATGTTTAAGAGGGTCAAACAAATGGAAGTCGCTTGGAGCAAGGTCGGGGCTATACAGATCCTCGAGGATTTCCCACTTAAAATTTTGCAGGATCTCGTCTGTCTTATTGGCAGTATGGGGACGCGCTTTGTCATGCAAGAGGAACATGCCTGGTTCCGTCATCAGCCCAAAGAATTATATGCTGCTGGTTTTCGGGGGCTTGTGAAATGATGGGATAAGTGCCTCAGTGTACAGGGAGATTATGTTGAGAAACAAAGGCATTTTTCAAATCAGTACTCTTATTTGTTTAAGTTGCATATCCATTTGTAACTTACTTATCGACTTACCCTCGTACATTCGTTGTTCCTGCTGCTACATGTCTTGGTCACACATGGGTCATCAGGCAACACTTAATGGGGAGACCACTGCACTGCACTGCACTGCACTGCACTGCACGCTTTGTCCCAGTCACCCTTAGGCACATGCTTTTGTTGTTAATTTTCTTCATAGGATATTTCCATCCTATCTTTTTGCCAGCTATTTCAGTGTTCCTTTTTAATGCTATCCACTTTTGTTGTGTATGTTTTAGTTCTGTTTTTCCTTGAAATATTATAAAAAGCCTCAAGGTGACTTGTACCAGCAACGCATCACCCCCTGAAAGAAGCAACATCTGATGCTAACATAAGTCCCTCATTTACAACAGTATTCGAAGAGTTCCTCAATGTTAAACAGAATATATGCACTCCGGTTGGTCAGAACCAATGAAAATCATGTCATCCTAAGCAATGTATTTCCACATCTGCACCATGACTTGTTCCAACAGCTGGACCCCTCAAGACTTGACTTATGATGACAGAAATTGCTTTCTGCTCAGATTTTTGGCATTAAACCCCACAAAAGAACTCCAAGCTTTTAGGCACACTCATAATATACTTCTGGCTTAAATGAAGCAATGTAACATTTTTGATTCCAAATTTATTTCTATTAGTCCCAGAAAAACGCAAATCTAAATGAAGAAATTAAATTACAGTGAAACCTCACTAACTCAGACTTCACCAATTTGAAATTCAGAATAATTTGAACACCAGCCTTCATGATCACACTGCCATGTGTAGTGTAGTATAAATAATGGTAAATACATGTAGACCTCATTTCAAATATCAAGGCCATTTTAGTAGATCTGAAGCATTCTATATCTAGAAAACTGGCCGTGAAAGGGCAGATACATAAGGGCGCTAACCTAAAATTCTGTGTTTATTTGTACAGTGTATGTAAGTTTTTAGTATGCCTACTCTTTATTTTCTTTTTAGTGTTTTAGTAGTGTATTTTCCATCTGTTAAAATGAGTGCTAGAGATATATAAGACACTAACCCTCCATGAAAATATGGAAATTTTAAACAAACTTGGTCATGGTGCTTCGAGTCAGACAGTAATGAATCAATATGGTGGATATCTAGGATGCACAGAAAAAGATCTCTGTGAAGCATTTGGAGCTGACACGAATGATGTTGACTGACTTAGTAATGATGAGGATGACTTTGGAAACCAAAATCTCACAGAAGAAATCGCACTACTTGAAGAGACCAGTTCAAGTGAAAAGGATGAACTGAATTGAATTTATTTACATTCTATGAATCCTAAGCAGGTTCGTACCTTTGGATACAGAACAAGTCAAAAGGTTACATACATAAGTACAGGCAATTTTAGCTTAAAAATTAATATAACTTAATTTTACATTTCTCTATTTACATTGAAGTATTCATCTAAAGAGTAGAAGGAATGAGCATGTAGATAATTCTTTAACTCTGATTTAAACTTTTTAGTATCATTGCCCAAGTTTTTAATACTTTGTGGCAGATTGTTGAACACTTTTATGCCAGTAAAGTAGACTCCTTTTTGATATACTGATAAAGTTGATGAGGGTAGGTGGAAGTTATATTTTTGTCTAGTATTCATGTTATAGACATCAGAATTTAATTTGAATTTATCTTTGTTGTAAACAA